TCTAGGTCTTACACATTTATTGTTGAAAATGTTAAATGCAACTGCCACTTCTACTCCAACGGTTTCTTTTCTCAGACTCTTACTTGACAACCAATGTGACTTGGTATTGGTCGCGGCGCCAAATGTGACGTGATCCTGTTGTCACGGCACCAAATGTGACGTTCTAACCCTTGGCTGATTCGGATGGGAATCTGGTTAGATTCGGTATCAGCCTTGTCGTTCCCAGCTCGCCTCCAACGTCTGGTTACCGAAGTAACTGCTTTGACTTCTAGTCTAACCTACCCACGCTGTGATTTGACCTTAGGTAGACGAAATCAATCAGTCGCCGGGCCGTAATGGAAGCCGAATTCGAGCAAAGGTAACACCGCACAAGTATATGTAAAAGAAAATAAAGTAACATCTCGAAAAGTTCAAATGTGTTAAAAAAAGAATAACAACTATTTTTATATCTGGTTGTTGAATACAGGACTGCGTCTTTCTCCCAAACCGCTTCTATGGATACGTGACACTTTGCGTTTGTTAGGCGAGTCTTAATATCTTAAGTGGTGTTTCGATAAACTGGTTTTTGGTGTCTTCAGGCGATATTCGTAAAACTTGTTTTGGTGGTGTGAGTCTAAGTCGTCCTTAAAAAATAAATTGTTTTTGGTTAGAAGTCTAAGTCGGAATGCGTGGATATTTCAGTCAGCTTCCTGCGAGGCTGGTCTCAGAGCTAACAGCTCAACTCTGTCTCCATCTGCGTCTCCTCGGAACTCTGACCAACTGCCGTCTACTCGCTGCGATTCTGTTTATATGGACGCCGACCAAAACCGGGTGTGGGCCTGTCGTGGTTTGGGTTCCTCGATAATTCCAAATCCACAATAAGGATTTTCTTTGTTTTCGGACAGGAAAATTTATCACTTTCCATTTTTGGAAGTCCATTACTTTCTGCTTTAGAGGGGTTCTTAAGGGAATGGTCCTCCCAAATTCTTCCTTTCTCATATTGGTATCTCACACCAATCCCCTCAGAGGGCGTCAACAGGTTTTCCTTCTTTCTCATAGTGGTATCTCACACCAATACCCTCAGAGGCGTCAGAAGGACTTCCCTCCTTCTCATATGTTTACCTTCGCCCATTTCTCACGCCACCATTCAGCCAATGAACGCTCGATGGCGTGGGTGTGGCTAGTCTGGCCTCAGTTTAAAATTATCGCTCAAAGGGAAAAAAATATCTTCCCTATTTTTTCTTTGCTTTCTTTTGCCCACTGGGCCCCTACGACTCGTAGTGTGGTCATTAATCTCTATCCTAACCGAATGTCATCTGGAATTTATCAACGAGATTTTCGTCAAATGATTATCATCAGAATGGTGAAGTGAATCTCTTTGTAACCTCAACGCCTTCGTACTCCTATCGTCAACAATCTGTCCCGGTAACAAACTTTTATCATGCCAAGGTCTGAACATAAAACGTGTTTTTTCCCAAAACCAAATGATATCTCCGAAAGATAATTAATAGTTTATTTTTCCCTTTTTCTCTTTTCCCTTCCCTTTTATTTTTTTTCTTTGGGGGTGGTCTAAACTGATCTTTTTTCTCGGTCGCATCATTGACCTGATTACCATTATCTTCCAGCATTTCGCCCTGTAGGCCACTTGACCAATTTGCAATTTTCATTATTGCCATGGGCAGATTGCTATCTTTTATTCGCCGTGTCATAGCATAAATTAATTCCGACAGATCCGAGATCTTACGAATTTCCTATCTTTTGCGAAAAAAATACCTTCTTTTCGCAAATGAAAATAAAATCTTTACCACTTTTCTTTGTTAAACAAATACAATCGCTCGGTATGTCTTTCGTGATAGCTTCTTCTCGCCTTTAAGTATTTCTCGCTTTCAATTTTCACGCAACCGCTAAATAGTGTCAGTAACGTCAATCGCTAACCCCGTTCATCTTTTGTCTTTCACTCAATCCTTCTTATATTCAGTCTTTTCTCTCACTTTGACTCTCTGTAACTCTCTACGTACTAGTAGCATACTCGCCTTGCTTGGGGTGAAATGATAAAAAAAACGAAAAACAACTCCTGCTGAATTATTTTAAAATCACTATTAAGAGAAATGTTCGTAAGTCGAGAGCTTATTCAAATAGTATACAGATATTGGTCATATGTCTATAGTCATATGTGTGTGTGTGTGTATGTGTGTGTGTGTATGTGTGTGTGTGTGTGTGTGTGTGTGTGAGAGAGAGAGAGAGAGAGAGTGAGAGAGAAATCGAATCACGTTCGAAGCTCAGTTTAGGTTGCTAGAGTCAACTTAGCAATCATTTTGAATTCCCTGACTATATATCTTTGCAATTTATGGTAATACTGGCAATCTTGCTGAGTGCCCTATCTTGATACATGAAAGCCACAAAAAAAAAAAAAAATAGATTGTTTGTCTTGTTTTTTGCGAAGTTTACGAATGGTTTGTTTTCTTTGCCTCACATTCTATTGCGTTTCGAACAAAACCCAAAACATTGCAAAGTATAAGCTTTTTTCAGCACACGAATATGACTTCTTTCTGTTCTACATAATTCGTGTGAAAGCCAAACATCAAAGTGGCTAGCCTAACCCGGCTGAAACAAAGTATTTCATCTTGACTTCGGTATTTCGATTATGTTACCTACACAATTATTTTACAATCATTTTTCAAATTATTTTTCATTCTTGACTTGGGTATTTTGATTATATTTCATACCTAAATATTTTGAATTTATTTTACAATCATTTTTCAAATTATTTTTCATTCTTGACTTGGGTATTTTGATTATATTTCATACCTAAATATTTTGAATTTATTTTACAATCATTTTTCAAATTATTTTTCATTCTTGACTTGGGTATTTTGATTATATTTCATACCTAAATATTTTGAATTTATTTTACAATCATTTTTCAAATTATTTTTCATTCTTGACTTGGGTATTTTTGATTATATTTCATACCTAAATATTTTGAATTTATTTTACAATCATTTTTCAAATTATTTTCATTCTTGACTTGGGTATTTTGATTATATTTCATACCTAAATATTGTGAGTTTATTTTACAATCATTTTTCAAATTATTTTTCATTCTTGACTTGGGTATTTTGATTATATTTCATACCTAAATATTTTGAATTTATTTTACAATCATTTTTCAAATTATTTTTCATTCTTGACTTGGGTATTTGATTATATTTCATACCTAAATATTTTGAATTTATTTTACAATCATTTTTCAAATTATTTTTTCATCTTGACTTGGGTATTTTGATTATATTTCATACCTAAATATTTTGAATTTATTTTACAATCATTTTCAAATTATTTTTCATTCTTGACTTGGGTATTTTGATTATATTTCATACCTAAATATTTTGAATTTATTTTACAATCATTTTCAAATTATTTTTTCATTCTTGACTTGGGTATTTTGATTATATTTCATACCTAAATATTTTGAATTTATTTTACAATCATTTTTCAAATTATTTTTCATTCTTGACTTGGGTATTTTGATTATATTTCATACCTAAATATTTTGAATTTATTTTACAATCATTTTTCAAATTATTTTTCATTCTTGACTTGGGTATTTTGATTATATTTTATACCTAAACATTTTGAATTTATTTTACAATCATTTTTCAAATTATTTTTCATTCTTGACTTGGGTATTTTGATTATATTTCATGCCTAAATATTTTGAATTTATTTTACAATCATTTTTCAAATTATTTTTGATTCTTAATTTGGGTATTCTCGATTATATTACCTACCTAATTATTTAAAAATTATTTTACAATCATTTTTTAAATTATGTTTCACTTTTGACTTGGGTATTTCGATTATGGTACCTACCTAATTATTTCAAATTGTTTTTATAAACTTTTTTCAAATTATTTTTCATTCTTGACTGGTATTTCGATTATGTTGCCTGTTTCCAGGATTCGTCAATTGAGGTAGGATCTTTTCAGTGAATGTCTTAAGTTGGTTTCAGTAATAATTTGATACAGATATAATCATTTATAAAATAATTCCGGCAATTTTTAACAATCGCCCCCACCCCGCCAAAAAAAAAAAAAAAAAAAAAAAAAAAAACGTTGTGCTAAAAGGATGCTTATTGCATTGACAATGCTTTTACTGTGTCCATTTTTGACTTTCTTCGGATTTGTTTAACGTTTTCAAAAGCGATGATCATAATCTTAATAAAAACCAAACATATAATACTTTATTTATACATTTTCTTTGGCCCTGGCGGTGTTAGGGAAGCGCCAATATGCCTAAGATGTCGTCTGCAACAGGGATTAGCTGCCAATTCTAGTTGACTCCAGGGTCTTCCTATATTTGAATTTAAATTTATTAAAACTAAACAATACTAACGCACATAATGACAAAACGAACTTTTTGGCTAACCCGATGTTAAATTGTATTAAAAAAAAATGACTTAGTCGTTTTCACAGAATTGCAAAAGTGCAATGTATGTAAACAGTTGCGTCTGATATATTTACTGTCGACACTTTCACTGTTTTTCTTTCGCCATCTGCAGTCGCTTACTTCCTGTTCTCATGCTTCGAAACAATATTAAACATTTTCACACTTATGCTTAAAAAGTAAACATTACAGGCATCTCACATTTTGCCCTGCCGGGGTTGCTAAAGGGTCAAAAGTCGGGGGGAATCCGACGTTTTAACGATAAAATTTACGATAGTTCTAAAAAAATATTAATCAATCAAGGCCTACCGCAGTTGTCATAGTTATTGTAAACTCCTGGTGGCTTACAGTAGCTCCATCAGTTTCTTTTCTCGCACTTTTAACCTGTGGGACTCCCTTTCGATGTAATACAAGTATTACTAATTAACCCATAGTTGGGGGAGAAGAAGTGGAGTTATACCTTTCCCAAGGGTATTTCCGCGTAAGTGAATATAACGAACCCAACTGAAATTGGAACTCGATTCTCCGATTAACAATTCCGACACATAATCCATTACACCACCCACACATCCACGCTTACAGCACTTGGTAAACACAAGCGGTCACCCATCTAGGTACTGACCAGGCTTGATGTTGCTTAACTTCAGTGATCGTATGCGAAGTGACGTATCAGCGTGATATGGACGCAAGTCTGACAAAGTTTCGATTTATTTCTTGCTTCTCTGACACATACAATCTTCAAAAATTTAATTGACACGACAATCGCCATATTCTGTCTCGCTGAAACCTGTTCTTTTATTGTCCTTTTCACATTTCTCCTTACTAAAGTTGTCTTTTTGTCGTTCGGAACCAGTAATCCCCTGCGTTCTGGCGGTATTATCGCCTTGCTTGGGGTGAAATGATTAAAATAGTATGTGCTTGACCAAGGCTAGTCTTTTGAGTGCAGAGTTGTCCTTCTTCCAGATGGGTTGCCAATCAACGATGAAGAGCAAATTCGGCCCTACTATTTAACCCATAGCATTAACAATTCTTTTTGAGATGATTTTTACAGATACACGTCATACTATTTAACTCATAGCTGGGGGGGAGAAGAAATGGATTCACACCTTTCCCAAAAGTATTTATGCGAAAGTGATTGTAACGAAACTCGACTGGAATGCGAATTGAACTCTCCGATTTTTAATTCAGAATCGCTATCCATTATGTCACACACACATCCAATTGATGCGAATTTTTAGATAAAAGATGATAAATCTTGATTTTTCTTCAATATACATTTAAGAACTGTCTACAATGTCCTGATTTTAAAATCAAACACTCCTGAAAAGTAAAACTTCAACATTTTCATACACTTTAAGGAATTTTACAATCATATCTATCAAAGGAGAAAATTTATATTCTACAAGCAATAATTAAAGCGATGGACGGAAAATGTTTTATGTCATTCTACGAGTGTTACGGGTACCAAATAACTGTGGCGTATAGTCTGGTCATCGGCGATTAAACCAGTGACAGCACCACGCTTTAAGTGTACTGAACTGTTATATAATGTGGGTACTCGTATATGGCAGAGAATACTGGACAATATCACAGAATAAGAAGAGACTTGAGGCAACAAAAATATGTTTCTACAGAAGAATGCTAAAAATACCACAGACTGAACATGCGGACAACGACGAATTTTTAGGGACATTGATTTGTTTCTATGGCTTATCAACCCTTTCGGGTTACTTAAAGCCAGAAAATATTTTTAGATTGTGAGAAGTTTTTGAGATAATAATTATTTAGTGATACAAGTCTTACTAATTAACCTATGGCTGGGAGAGAAGAGATGGATTCATACCTTTCCCAAGGGTAATTGCACATAAGTGAATATAACGAATACAACTGAAATTGGAAACTCGACTCTCTGATTAACTATGGGACTACACAATACACACTGACAGAACAATCAAGGCCAACCGGCCAGATATTGTTATTAAAGACCACAAACAAAAACGGTGCCTCCTTATTGACATGGCAGTCCCTGCTGACTGCAATGTGTCTTTGAAGATATTCAAAAAGTTGTCAAAATACAAGGACCTTGAAATAGAAATCTCGAAAATGTGGCATATGGGAACATCAACAATCCCTGTTGTAGTTGAAGCCCTAAGACTGGTTGGAAAAGATTGCAGTAGACTAATTGAAGGGATTCCTGGAAGTCCATGCCTCAAGGAGAGACAAAAAATTGTTCTGACAAGTACATCCCACACCTTACGAAGGGCTTTATCTATGTAATTTATTTTTTTTTTTTGTCAGTGGAAAGTGTCATGACGCCATTTCTAACCTTAGGTCTTTGGCGGGACCCGGAAAGAAATGTGTAAACGCCAGAAATCAAAGAAAATAATAATAATAATAATAATAATAATAATAATAATAATAATGACGATGCACCACCCGAAAACAGATGTTGATAGGTTGTATGTTCCAAGAGCTTTAGGGGGCCTAAGTCTAATCCCAAAAACTACAACAATCGGATTGAAAGCCTACCTCAGAAAAACCAATGTCTCTACGCTACAAATAGTAAAACATCAAATCCACTTCATCAACAATGAAACTGCATTCTTCAAGAAACAGCTTCATATAACTGAAATCCTACCAACCAAAAACGAAGCGACTACCATCTACGCCAAACGGGTAAAACAGAAAGCAAAACAACTTGGTCAAATGAAATTACAAAAAAACAAAAACACCCCCCCGCAAAAAAAAAAACCAACTGGAAGGACAAGGCATTGAATGGCAAAAACCTAAAAAGAACGAAAGAATCAGATGTGGACCAACAGAAAATACATCAGTGACTGAGGATCACTGAGTTGAAAGCTGAGAGAGAAAGTCTAATTATTGCATCCCAGGACGAAAGCCTCGCAACCAGATCCTATCACCAGAATGGAATTATCTCAAAATGCAGGATTTGCGGAAAAATATGATGAAACTGTCGACCATATAATAATAATAATAATAATAATAATAATAATAATAATAATAAATTAATTAATTTCAAATCCAAGGATTTTGAAGTAGAAATCTCAAAAATGTGGCACATGATAACATCAACAGTTCCAGTTGGAATTGGGGCTCTCGGGTTTATTAGAAAAAGGTTTAGATAGACACATTGAAGGGAATCCTGGTAACCCATGCCTTAAAGAAATCTTAGTCGCCATATTTATTACAACGTTTCGGCCGTTGTACGCACCGGCCTTCTTCAGATGGTTGGACTATCGAACTGAACCCATGTTTTTAATGGATGTCAGTTATTAGGACACATGGTACAGTGGATAAAGGCGTTGGTTAGATTCAGTGACAGTGTGAGTTCAATATCCGATTAAGGCAGTCGAGAACTTGTACAGGGGAATTAGCAGGAGATAACTGATAAATGACATCCATTAAAAACATGGCACGTGGAACTAGAACAATCTACGCCAGTGAGCGAAATAAAGGGTTCAGTTCGACATTCCAACCACCTGAAGAAGGCCGGAGCGTACAACAGCCGAAACGTTGTGATAAATATGACGACAAAGATGAGGACAATAGTCCGAATAATGTAAATAGTGTACATAATACCTCATCTCAGAAATATAGACAGATAGAAAAGATCCTATTCACAAGTACAGCTCACACATTACGAGGATCTTTATTTATATAAAATGTGTATGATCTTTGGTTTTTTATAAAAATGATCAGTGGGAAATGCCATGAAGCCATTTCTGACCTTAGGTCTTTGGTTTGGACCCGGAAGTAAATATGTATGTGACAGAAATCAAAGGAGATAATAATAGTAATGATGATGATAATCGATGTGGCATGTCCCTTCAGGACGTGGGAAATCATGGTTCTCCACAACCTCCTATCTCTTTTAGCGCTTAGCAATGTCGGTCCTTGCGCTAAGTCTTCCGCGTCCCGTTCCACCATCCATTGACACACAAAAAAGAAAAAAAAAAGACCTATAACATGTTACTCTAATAACTCTAATATTAGAATAACATGTTGTAGGTTTTTTTTAGGCACGTCGTCAGGGCTTTATTTGGTTTTATCAATAAATTTTGTTCCATTATTTGCCTTTTTAGCCAGTTTTACCCCGAAGATCCGATTAGGTGAAACCTAGGTAGGTTTGCCTGGCTCCTTAGAATTGTTTTAGTTTTGTTTTAGTTTATATATATATATATATATATATATATATGTGTGTGTGTGTGTGTGTGTGTGTGTGTGTGTGTGTGTGTGTGTGTGTGTGTATTCGGATATTACATCGAAAACGTGTCAAATTCGCTACACAATTGTAGTCGTGTTTCGTTGCATATCAATGCATCTCTTCAGGCAATTGTAAATTACTGGCAAGTGAACGATTTATTTACATTTAAAAACAAAATACAATCTCTTTTTACGGAAAAAAGTGTTTTATAAGGTCTGTTGGCTTTACTCAGGTCAACCAATCGAATATGACCTACGTTAAATTTAAACTAAGCGAATAAAAATTAAGAAATTATATTTTCATAAATGGACCATGACCCGTAGATTCGCTATATTTTCGCCAGTAATTTGCAATCGCCTGATGAGATGCCTTGATACACATCGAAAGACGACTGCAACTGTGTAGCGATTTTGACATGTTTTCGATGTAATATCGTAAAATGAATAATACTGCTCTACTTTGTATTGAGCCCTCTTTTTGAATTAAATGTTACAAACTTTGGAATTGTACTGTACAATTGTACTTTTCATCTATATATATATATATATATATATATATATATATATATATATATATATATATATATATATGCAGATACAGATACTTCTTTTTCCCATCAGTTTTCGATTCTGAGTACAGTGCCACCGGGTTCAAGCAAGTGCGACTATCTGGTTTCCTTATCTTGGCATGACTGACAGGTCACGTTTGACCTTTGAACTGCAGACTCAACAATTTGAGTGGGAAAATTTAAGAAACTTACACATGGTCGAGTATTTTTTTTTTGTTTTTTTTCGGCGGGTAGGGGAGGAGCGTCATTGGCGTTGGTCTATTTTAAATCATTCCATCTCTATCCATTGGAAGAGGATGCTTTTTTTTTGTTTTCTTTTTTGTTTTTGGTTTGTTTGGGTTTTTTTTTTTTGTTTTTTCGCTATGACTCTAAAGTAAAGATGTTCATCTTATTTTCTTTCATTTCAGTTTAGTCTTTGTAAAGATGAAGATTTGTTTATCAAATGTGAAATGTCTTTCTCCAAGATTTGAATAAGCTGAGTGATGGTATTCATAAAAATTAAAATTGATAAAAATACATTTGTTGTTGTTAATAATAATAATAATAATAATAATAATAATAATTTTGATTGATTCGTTTTTTTACGGTTTGTCAACCCGTTGAAGGTTATTTAAAGCCAGAAAACATTTTTAAATTATAAGAATCTCTTTTAGATAATAATGATTTTAATGACACGGGGTTTACTAATTAACCCATAACTGAAGGAGAGAAGTAGATTTATGCCTTTCCAAAAGGCATTTGTGCGTAAACGAATATAATAATATAACGAACCCAACGGGAATTGGAACTCGGCTATCAGAGGTACAGTGCTGTTTGCTAAAAGTGACCCACCTTATCCTTTGAATTTAGCTGAACTTTCGGTTCATCCGAGAAGAGAACATTCTTCCAGTCTTCTACGGTGTAATTTTTGTAATAGTGAGCCCATTCAAGTCTCTTGGCTTTGTTGGCTTTGCTTATTAGCGGCTTAAACCTTCGTGTACAAGATTTGTAGCCTTGTTCTAACAAGATTTGTAACCTTGTTCTGACGGACTGTTGAAGAGGCAAGACTAACACCTTGTTCTTCGCTTAGACTGGCTGCAATTTCTTGACTAGTTATAGTCCTATTATTCGCAACTTCTCTCTAGATTACCCTGCCAGTTCTATCATCAATCTTTTTCTTTCGTCCCCTTGTTTCCTTCCTTGGAGCAGGAGTGGCATCATTATGTGCCCTAAGCACCCGAGAGACAGTTGATTGCGAGGTTATAGCAATTTCTGCAATTTCTCTCGTAGACTTGCCTGCTTTTGAGAGGGCAATAATAGATGCCTTAAGTGGTTCTGATGCGTGTTTGTACCCTTTCATCTGGTTATTGACTTGAGTGGCTATTTCAAGCTATTTTTATACTGTGTGAGGCTTTCTGGAATATTCTGGAATACTCTAGATTTAATTTAAGAATTCTCTAGAATATTGTCCTGGGTGTATTGTAAAATAGTTTTCAATATTTTGTCAAAAGCTCTTTATATTTACCAGTTTAATCATTAGAATGTGATATCTGAGTCACTCTTTTCCTGAATCTCATTTATATCCAAATTTATAATTATCAATAGAATACCTTAGGGTGAATAAACTTTTTTTCCTAGGTGGTTGGGAAGGGGTCTTTATATTAGTAAGATTAAAAATTAATTTAACCCCAAAAACGATAGACAAAAAAATATTTTTAGCAAAAAAAAAATCAGGTGAGTCACTTTTAACGAACAGCACTGTAGATTTCTGGCTACAATTACCTATTTATTCTTCCTGATTTCATGGGTAACAGAACAAAATCTCAGGGAATGAAATCCAACAAAAACTCGTATCCCATCAGTGGACAAAATCTCAGTCTCATAATTAAATGTGGCATTTATAAAAAGAAACAAATTTAATATTGTAAATTCAAGAAACGTTTTATTCAAAATTCTCACTTATATGTTCAAGAAAGTTATTTTGCGAATAAAATCTTTACTTAAGCTCTTAATTCGGCATAATGTATCTTCATGTACGATGGACGCGGATTACTAATCTTTTGGTGCAAAATTTAAGTTATACCATTCTTAAGGCTTCATATAAAATCGAGTCTTATAGGATTCTTGATCGCCTTAACTATGAAATAAATCGAATACGTAACTGTAGCGATGTTACAATATGTATTTAACAGACTGAATCAGTTTACAATGAATTCCTTTAAGCAAACACAGCGGACCTATAATCTCATGAAAAACGCAACAAAAATCCATCTGAGTCTTTGTCATCGATTCGATTGCACGACACTTCATCTGTGCGCCCTTAGTTTCTGAAACAAACAGATCTTTTCACTTTTAGACAAGATCTTGAGCGGGGTTGGTGGGATTTGCCCTCGACCACCACCACCACCAACAACAACCCTGCTCAAATCCCATTCGTACTACAAAAGCAAAGGCAAAACACTACAACAAAAATAATAATAATGAAGTTGATGAGAGTGATGATCATGACAGGAAAACTATGATAGTTTGAAATAGAAAGTGTATAAATTTCGTCGGTGAAGAGTGTGGAATAATAATAATAATAATTTTATTTTTAATAATAATAATAATAATAACTGGTATGAACACCACCCAGACCCGGTTACGGAGATAGGACCTGTTACAATTCTATGGGACTACACAATACACACTGACAGAACAATCAAAGCCAACCACACAGATATTGTTATTAAAGACCACAAACAAAAAAGTGCCTCCTTATTGATATGACAGTCTCTGCAGACTGCAATGTATCTTTGAAGATATTAAAAAAGTTATCAAAATACAAGTACCTTGAAATAGAAATCTCAAAAATGTGGCACATGGGAACATCAACAATCCCTGTTGTAGTTGGAGCCCTAGGACTGGTTGGAAAAGATTGCAGTAGACTAATTGAAGGGATTTCTGAAAACCCATCCCTTAAAGAAATACAAAAAAATTGTTCTCACGAGTACAGTCCGCACCTTACGATCGGCTTTATCTATGCAAAATGTGTTTTGTTTTAACAGTGGAAAATTTCATAATGCCATTTCTAACCTTAGGTCTCTGGGCGGGAAAGAAATGTGTACACACCAGAAACCAAAGGAAATATAATAATAATAATAATAATAATAATAATAATAATAATAATAATTGTATTTCGACACAACCAGTATTTCGATTGTTATGAAAGCGTTAAGAAGAATGAGAATAAACACTTTAGAAAACTCTCAAGTAATCCATCTTTATCGGAAATGGAAAAGATTATGTCAATGATTACTGCTCCCATACTAAAAGAAATGTTTCAATATCGTCTGAAGGAAAAGCTTCATTTGACTTATATCGCAAGGGAAAGACTTTGTCGATGACTGTATAAAAAAAACTGCAAAAACAAAAGAAAGAAAGAATACCAACATGATTATTGGCGATTAGACAATTATCAGATAAGATAGATAAATATATAAACATAGATTGACAGATAAATTATATATATATATATATATATATATATATATATATATATATATATATATAGAGAGAGAGAGAGAGAGAGAGAGAGAGAGAAAGATAGATAGATAGATAGATAAATGAAGCAGAAGAAAATGAATAGATAGATAGATAGATAGATAGATAGATAGATAGATGAAGCAGAAGGAAATGGATAGATAGATAGATGAAACAGAAGGAAATGAATAGATAGATAGATAGATAGATAGATAGATAGATAGATAGATAGATGAAGCAGAAGGAAATGAATAGATAGATAGATAGATAGATAGATAGATAGATAGATGAAGCAGAAGGAAATGAATAGATAGATAGATAGATAGATAGATAGATAGATAGATAGATAGATATCAATAGAAATTAAAGATAACAATATAACAATATAGACATGAAGAGACACATGGATAGAAGCAGGAGGAAATAGTTAAACAGATAGAACGAAAAAACGAACAGACTAAGATAGATAGATAGATCCATAGATAGATAGATAGAAACGAATAAACTAAGATAGATAGATTGATAGATAGATAGATAGATAGATAGATAGATAGATAGATAGATAGATAGATAGATATAGATAGAAACGAACACGCTGACACAGACAGATATCAATAGAATGTAATAGATAAGAGTAGAAGAATATATACATTGACTGAAATAGAGAATATAATAGATATATAGATAGAAGCAAAAGAAAAAATATATAGTGAGAGAGAGATAAATAGATAGATAGAAACGAACACATAGAAATAGATAGATAGATAGATAGATAGATAGATAGATAGATAGATAGATAGAGAGAGAGAGAAAGGAAGAAAGTATGTTTCGCAGTAGATTGATGGATCGAAAGAAAATGAAAGATCCTCTATTAAAATCAGTCACCTACGGAGACAACTACCTGCGCGCAACAGGTCTTATTGGCGCCATCACTTGCGTGCGTGTCGCTTAAAAGCAATATGGCGTTACGTGTGTCCAAGGCGGAGATCGGCGCCAAACACGGAATCAAATCGTTAATGAAATGTCACCATTCGGATATTGAAGATTAATCGATAATTTGTAATCTGTTAAGTTTAAAATCGTGTATTCCAAGAAGAAAGAAAAGAAACAAGAATGAAAGGAAAAATAAAGGAAAAAAGAAAAAGAAATGAGTGAAAGCTAATAGAATTGCAAGCAGAAAATGAAAGAAAGAAAAAATGAAAAAGAGTGAAAACAGAAAAAGAAGGAAAGAAAGAAAGAAAGAAAGAGGGTAGAACAAAGATCAACGAAACAAAAGAGGTTAAAGAAAGGAAGGATGAAAAGAAAGAAAAGAAAAAAATTACGAAGAGAAAGAAAAACAATGAAAGGGTCAAGAATGAGAGAAAGTGTGAAAGGAAGAAATGAGAAAAAGAAAGGGAGTTGAAATAAAAAAAGAAAGGGGCAGAGATAGAATAAAGAGAAAGAAAGAGAAAAGAAAGAATAAAAGGAAGAAAGAAAGAAAGTCGTGGAAAGGAACAAGGAACAGATAAATGAAAGGCGTAGACAAAAGAAAGAAAGAAAGAAAAAAAGAAAGAAACAAAGAAAGAAAGAAAGGCATGGAAAGACAAAGCCGTGGAAAGGAAAAAAAAAGAGTCGTAGATAAAATAAAGAGAAAGAAAGAGAAAATAAAGAAAGAAAGGAAGGAAGAATGTCCTGGAAAGAAAGAAAGAAAGAAAGAAAGAAAGAAAGAAAGAAAGAAAGAAAGAAATGGAAAAGAAAGACAGGGAAAAGAAAGACATGGAAAAGAAAGAAAGAAAGACAGGGAAAAGAAAGACATGGAAAAGAAAGAAAGAAAGACATGGAGAAGAAAGAAAGACATGGAAAAGAAAGAAAGAAAGAAAAGAAAGAAAGAAAGAAAGAAAGAAAGAAAGAAATGGAAACGAAAGACATGGAAAAGAAAGAAACGGAAAAGAAAGAAAGAAAGAAAAGACATGGAAAAGAAAGAAATGGAAAAAGAAAGAAAGACATGGAAAAGAAAAAAAATGGAAAAAGAAAGGCATGGAAAAAGAAAGAAAGAAAGAAAGAAAGAAAGAAAAGAAAGACAAAGAAAGAAAGAAAGAAAGAAAGAAAGAAAGAAAGAAAGAAAAAAAGAAAGACATGGAAAAGAAAGAAATGGAAAAGAACGACATGGAAAAGAAAAGAAATGGAAAGAAAGAAATGGAAAAGAAAGAAAGACATGGAAAAGAAAGAAATGGAAAAGAAAGAAAGAAAGAAAGAAATGGAAAAGAAAGACATGGGAAAGAAAGAAAGAAAGAAAGAAAGAAAGAAAGAAAGAAAGAAAGAAAGAAAGAAATACATGGAAAAGAAAGAAAGAAAGACATGGAGAAGAAAGAAAGACATGGAAAAGAAAGAAAGAAAGAAAGAAAGAAAGAAAGAAAGAAAGAAAGAAAGAAATAAAGAAATGGAAACGAAAGACATGGAAAAGAAAGAAACGGAAAAGAAAGAAAGAAAGAAAGAAAGACATGGAAAAGAAAGAAAGACATGGAAAAGAAAGCCATGGAAAAGAAAGGCATGGAAAAGAAAGAAAGAAAGAAAGAAAGAAAGAAAGACATGGGAAAGAAAGAAAGAAAGAAAGAAAGAAAGAAAGAAAGAAAGAAAGAAAGAAAGAAAGACATGGAAAAGAAAGAAATGGAAAAGAAAGACATGGAAAAGAAAGAAATGGAAAAGAAAGAAATGGAAAAGAAAGAAAGACATGGAAAAGAAAGAAATGGAAAAGAAAGAAAGAAAGAAAGAAAGAAATGGAAAAGAAAGACATGAGAAAGAAAGAAAGAAAGAAAGAAAGAAAGAAAGAAAGAAAGAAAGAAATACATGGAAAAGAAAGAAAGAAAGAAAAGTAGTGGAAAAGAAAGAAAGAACAAATAATTGGAAAGCGTAGATAGAATAAAGATAAAAAAAGAAATAAAAGGTGGCGTGGAAAGGAAAAAGAACAAAGTCGTGAAAAGTGTAGGCAGAATAAAAAAAAGAAAGAAACATACAAGCAAAGACACAAACAAAAAGAAGAGGAAAGAAAGAAAGAAAGAAAGAAAGAAAGACATGGAAAAGAAAGAAAGAAAGAAAGAAAGAAAGAAAGAAAGAAAGACATGGAAAAGAAAGAAAGAAAGAAAGAAAGAAAGAAAGAATGGCAAGACAGTAAGAATAACAAAATGATAAAATAAAAAAAGATGAACCGAGAAAAACTATCAGAAAACAATAAAAATTCCATTCTTCTTTTGATTCTTTATCTTAAGCAAACTGGAAGAGAATAATGAAGGCAAGATTTGATTTTAATTACAAAAATTCTTCAAAAATCGAAGTAATGTCATAGGACCAAGTTTTTAAATTATTGCTAATTGATAGATTACAGATAATCTTTGCAACACGCGACCTGAAAAACGATTCGATTTTTTGCAAATCAAAAGAAATAGCAAAAGGATAAAGAATATATACAACTAATATATTTTTGTCTTTGTACGGTCAGATATTTTTTCTTAATTCCCTATTTTCTTCAAACAATCTTTCACTGGTTATCATTTTTTTCTATTTTATCAATTTGCTGCGGACAGTTCGGCAAGGAGTTTTACATGTTTCCTCCATTTTGTTTTTTCCCCCATAATGCATCTGCCACCATTATCTATTTTTTTTTTACTCCACTTTCCACAGGTTTTCCCCCTCTGTCGGCCATTAATGCTGTCATGGCTGGAGGATATTAAAACGTGAAAGATATTATTAAGTTGACAAGCGAAACTTTTGTTTTATATCTGTGTGCGAATAAATATTTATTCCCTTCTTGGTTCCATTTGTAAAGAAATTGAACGTAGAATAGCTACACTAGAGGTAGTTTCGCTTAACACACGAAAGGGCTACAAAACCAAAAACGTTAACCTAATAACTCGTGCCATATAATTTCGCCAGATCGAGTTATTCATATACAGGGCGCGATGGATAAATTGTCGTCTAAATTACAAAAAAAAAGAATGAAAAATAAACTTGACATCTTATTTAAACAGATATATTTACTAAAATTGCACAAAAAATATCTGGAAATACTAAAGAGTAAATTTATTCAATAAAATCACCTTTGACTTCAACCACGGCTTCCAGACGACTTCGGAATCTTTTGCAACTCTTCTGGGTGATTTCCTTGTTTAAGTCATTGAATGCTGCCATAATCCTTACCTTCAGGTCATCTTTGATTTAAAAAAAAAAAGTTTTGTTGGTCTCTTTCCCAAGTGCGCCCCACACATAATAATCAAAGGTGTGGCAGCCTGCGAAGTTAGGTGGCCATGATGTAAGGAATGTTTTGGTCGTAGAATTTTTCTGACAGTCATGACTGCATTCTCCTGCTTGTGTGGCATGGTGCAGAGTCTTGTTGTCAGACATAGGATGTTCCAGGAGTTACCCCCTTGATCTAGGGCAGCACTACCTCAAGGCACTTTATGTAGGCCTCCTTATTGAGAAGATGCATGAAGTCATAAGGTCGCCATTATCACTGATCACTCCAACCACTTTCACAATCACCACTACAGTCATTCCGAATCCTCTACACTGTCCTCAGATTGGCGTCCAAAGACTATGAAATGTTCGTATTAGAGGTTCTGTTAAAATGAGATGGTATAATCTGTCTATGTAGAGCAAGTGTGGCCCGACAGGTTTCAGAGATACGAACGGACAGACATAATATGCCGTTTTTTATTTAGATAGATAGACATATAGATAACTAAGAATATAGATAGATAGATAGATAGATAGATAGATAGATAGATAGATATAAATAAATAAATAAATAAATAAATAAATAAATAAATAAATTGAATTTTTAACTGATCTCTCCTCCATCGACAGAAATCCCAATGGTGGGTGTTCAAGCACCAAATGAAGGTCAGATTTTTAATCTCGTGATATTATCATTCCAAAAATGTATAGCAACATTTAAAAATGAAAACCCAAGGAACATTTTTAAAATATGCGTAATACGAAACATACAAGAAATTAAACAAAATGGTGTTAATAATAAATCCCCCACAATCCTTAATGAGATTATCGAAGCGTAGCTTAGACGTGGGAAAAGGCAGAAAATGTTAAGCAACAAGTGAGGATCGAACTCTTTACTCAGTCGTATTTGATTCAGCGAGACAAGCTTGGTAACCATTACACAACGTCGAAGTGCCCAACACACTAAATCTCATAAAGAAACGAAATTCTGTTCTCATAATTAAAAAATGAAACATTCTTTCTTAATATTGTTCTAATTTACTTTATGTGAATTTTTTTGTAATTAAAAGCTGCCATTTCAATCTGTGCGGCGTTCTTTATTTCTATTTTACAAATCGTGCGTGTAAAACAAGTGTAGATTATTTCAATCAGACGTTAAACTCATCTTGTAGATTCCAGTTTTGCTGCTGATAAACACGCGGCCAACGACACCTTCGCACAATTCATTTAAAGAAATAAACCTTGACCTACATGACTACAATTAGAGTACTTCCGTTTTATACGGTGTCACATTAAAACAGATTACTTTTTAAAAAATTGACCGGTGACATTAACTTTAACGTTAAATGTTTGTCAACCTTTGTCATCGAATCAGGGAAATTGGAAGACAAATATTCAGTCCCCAGTGTTCTATCTTTTTGCCTAGCATAAGAGGCGTTTTATTATTACTCGAGTAAGGGGATGAAGCCACTAAGATTCAACGAGTTACCGAAGATGAAATACATTAGAGTGAAGGAAATTTTACCAAGAACGAAATAAAATAAAAAGGGGATTCAACAAGACAGATGGAAACTTAAGTTACACTTTTGAAGATTGTAGTTGGCAGGAAAGCAAGTAGATGCAAGATTTCCATAGGCGAAATGTGCCAGGGAAGAATCGATTAGAATAAAATTTACAACTACATTTAACAATTTCGACAGTAAAATGATGAGACATAACTGCCAATCTAGCAAACATAGTGTTTACATTTATGAAGTTTGTTGGTTTGGACTGGTTATTTTTGTTCAGCGGCATATCAACCTCTATGGGTTATTTAATGCCGATTACTAAATATTTTATACGAAATTTTATTTACAGAAATTTTCTACATAATATTATACTAACTGGGTAAAAGCACGTTTTATAGATAGACAGAGTGCGATGGATAAATGTGTCGTCTAAATTACTCAAAAATGAAAATAACACTGACATGGCGGCATAACGTCACCATCACTCGTGATCACACCAAACACCTTCGTAATCACCATTAGACTCATCAAACTCTTTCCCAATCCTCTGCACTGTCCTCAGATTGACGCCCTGTCATATAGGAATAAAGTGTTGCTGCAGTTTGAACACAGATCATCAGAGAGCAAACACAGGCGATTCTATTTTGAATAAGTAGATCACGGGATGGTAAAAAGAAATGTATACATGGGAATTAGCGTGGCGTCTAAGTGATCACTATGTGACTTACTATTCGGATCACTATACGGATTACTGTTTGGATCACTGTTCGGCTTTTACTATTCGAGCGAGTATTATCGTACAAGTACTATTAGTGCGAGTGTTATTCGAAGGCGTCTGACACCAGTATTGTTCGACGGCATTACTATAGTTACTGTAGTTGTATTTGCGATTACAAAGTCTTTACAACAACGAGTATTACGAATTGGGAAGACATAGTGGGGCTGATAAAAAAAAACAATTTTAAACGCTTGGTCTCACGCTTTCCACTGACCTGAAGTGAAACCACTACATTGAATCTATAGCTTCATCTACCGCCAAGAAGGTTTTTACCGCCTGAGTCTATCATTTAAATCTGCATATCAACCATTCGTCTTTGCATTGAATACTGCTGCCAAATATGGTTTGGTGCACCCGCTGTTCACCTGGGACCCTCGACAAAATCTAGTCTGTTCGTATCTATCTATCTATCTATCTATCTATCTATCTATCTATCTATCTATCCAAGTCTCTTCGTTATCTATCTATCTATCTATCTATCTATCTATCTATCTATCTAATTCTCTTCATTATCTATCTATCTATCTATCTATCTATCTATCTATCTATCTATCTATCCAAGTCTCTTTGTTATCTATCTATCTATCTATCTATCTATATCTGTTCAAGTCTATTCGTATCTATCTATATGGTTATGCATACACACGCACGCACACACACACACGCACACACTGCGTTTCAAGTTATTAACGAGGTGATCAACAATTTGAACAAGGCGACCACGGTGACTAGTGGCTTTATGCTAGCACAGCCCTCAACGGCCCTCAAGAGTTCCGTCTACCCAATTTCACTGACATGGCTTGGGTCAACCAGTGATATGGGCACTTTCCAGAGGTGCCGCACGCTAGGATCAACCATTCCGATAACATCAGGAAGTCTCCTTCTGACAAATGACCAAGGTGAGATTCGAACACAGGTCTCATGGTCAGAAAGGGAACGTTCCAACGACCTATATATATATATATATATATATATATATATATATATATATACAAACAGACTGGAAAAGATACATGCATATATATATATAGTTTAGATATATAATGAGCAGAATATACAGATAGATAGATAGATAGATAGATAGATAGATAGATAGATAAAAATAAAAGACTGGAACAGACATATACATTGCGTTTCAAATTATTAGGTTGGTGCAAAAATAATTTCGTTTTCTAACATATGTTACTATGTGAGAAAACGAAATTATTTTTGCACCAACGTAATATTAACGAGGTGATAATATTTTAATTTTGTCTAAAAACTACCAGTCGGAATTTAACGAAATTTTTACACCATAATGACAATAGGTATATGCGCAGGCTGTATAAAACTTGTATTGTTCTGCGCAGCAGAAAACAGTGACCATTTGCAATATTAACAAGATGTAGAAGTGTTCCAGACTATAAATGAGTGTCATTATAATCTGAGAAAAATATTATAACATCTGAAATTTTACAAAGCCAAGTCAACATTGGAAATATCCAAAATAATTGGAAGATGTCACCAAACTGTGCAAAAGAAAATGTTGCAGCTGCTACGAGGTTACTTAAGAAGCCCGATAAGTGTCATTCGAGGGTTGTTTCCCAACGTTCTTTGATGGCCCTGATGGTTTGGGCAAAGGTTGGATCGTAAATGGACGAGATATTCATCAACGCTTGACATGCCAACAAGGAGGAGGAGGTATTATGGTTTGGGCTGATATTATTGGAGGTATCATGGTTGGTCGGTGGAGAGTGGCTGATGGTACGAAAATAACCGCAGATGCTTATCTAGCCTTGCTTAAAGAGGACCTGAAATCTTGGCTACCAAAACAAAGAATCACCTTCAGCAGAACCATCGTAATTATGCGATATAATGCTCCTTCGCATTCAGCGCATTAAACTACGGACGACCTGCAGAAATTAGGTTTCTGTGGACCTCGGATAAAGAACTGGCTGGTCAATTTCTCCAGACTTAAACCCAACTGAAAACTTTGGGCGCATTCTCAATATAAAATATATAATAATAATAATAATAATAATAATAATATATATATATAATATGATATAAAATAAATAATATATAAATATAATATATAAAATATATATATATATATATATATATATATATATATATATATATATATATATATATATATATTTTGTTCAAGTTTTTTGTACCTATCTATCTTTTCTATCTATCTATTCCCTGACTATTCGTATCCATTCATTATCTAGTCAGTCTGTTCATTATCTATCTATCTATCTATCTATCTATATATATATATATATATATATATATATATATATATATATATATGTATGTATACTTATATATATATATGGATGCATATATATATATATATATATATATATATGGATGCATATATATATATATATATATATATATATATATATATATGATCAGTCTTATTGTACCTATCTATCTATCTATCTATCTATCTATATATATATATATATATATATATATATATATATATATATATATCATTCTCTATTCATTATCTATCCATCTGTCTACTTATATATGTTCCAGTCTCTTCATTATCTATTTCCATTTCTTCACAGATATTTATCCATCTACCTACCTATCTATTTTCACTTGTCGGTCTGCCTGTTACTATTTTATTGACATTTATACAAATGAATTCGTGTTTAGTTTGTTGGGCGTAATAGACAGGTGGTTCAGCTTGGCACGCATTTTCGCGAAACGGGCATTTCCCGATCGGGGTCTTATTCACTCGGAAATGCAGAATGCATCATTAATTTGCGTGTTTGAAACGTTTTGCCGGATAGAGGATGCAAGGATTTTATTCCATGAACAGACCGAGTGTCGCCATTGTTTCTCTTAAATTTGCCCTTCACCCGCAAGCTGAATATTCCTTGCTTTCTAAAATCCCTTCAATGATCTTCCTTCAATAAACAAGGAGGTCGTAACCTTTTGTGAAACTCTATGTAAAGACTTGTAAAGCGCAGTTGAGAAAGACGTTTAAAACACTGACATAATTAGCGAGGCAAACTAAGATTTTTAGAAACATCCGAGGAATGATTAAAAAGTATCGGGACCGTTACTATAGTAATACGGATAAAGTACGCTGTCTCCCTTATTTTGGATAAATAATTAACAGACTGAATAGATAGATAGATAGATAGATAGATAGATAAGAACAGACTGGAACATCTATCTATCTATCTATCTATCTATATATATATATATATATATATATATATATATTAAGAAATGAACAAAGTCCGACAATTTATTTATTACTTTGTCCATTTCTTAATATATGACGTCATTTGTTTACATTTGATACGCCAGAGCAGTTATGAATGTAC